TTGAACCGCCAGCCTTCTGGTTAGCAGTCAAATGCCTTAAGCACTACGCTACCAGAGCTCCATAAGACAGAGTAGAACTGCCTCATAGGATTTCCAAGGTTGTAAATGTTTATGGTAGAAGGTCTGGTACTGTAGTGCCTAACGCACTTGACTGGTAACCAGAAGGCTGGCAGTTCAAACGAACCAGCCACTCCGGAAGGAAGATCTACTTCCGTAGTGATACTGCCTCGGAAACCCAAGGAGGGGTCACTATGAGTCGGGTCTGACTCGACAGCACATAACAACAACAACAACAAATGTTTATGGTGACAGACTGCCTCCTCTTCTTCTCGTGGAATAGCTGTAGGTTCAAACCACTGACTTTTCAGTTAGCAGTTCAGCATTTAACCACTGTGCCAGTGGTTAACCCAGACACATAGCAGAAACTCAGCAAAATGGCAGTGGCTCCATAGCTTGGTCCCTTGATTCTTTATTAAGAGGGATAGTCAGCAAAAATGTCCTCACAGTCTGTTTTCAGCTGCTGCTTTTCAGCCCAACTATTTGCCGTACCTCTCTGGAATGCTCCAATGGATGCAAATTAATTTCTTTTCAACGCTCATGTAAAACAAGGCTGGTTAAATAGGCTTTCACTTCTCTGTCCCCACTACCCAAACCAAAAACCCAAACCCATTGCAGTTGAGTCCAACTGATAGGAACCCTATAGGACAGAGCAGAAATGCCCCATAGGGTTTCTAAAGCTGTAATCTTTATGGAAACAGACTACTACATCTTTGTCCCACAAATTGGCCAGTGGGTTTGGACAGTGATCTTTCAGTTAGCAGCCAAGGGCTTAACCAGTGTATCCCTGGACTCCTTCTATCCAAAGAAGGGATTATATTCTTAATTTATTAGATGAGGCAGGTGCTTGTACGTAATTAATAGTAATCTGAATTAATGACTGAACTTCTGGCCTCAAACAGCCTTCTTGGCTCCACCTCCAAGGGGAGCTCAGACTGCAGGTTCCAATCTCTGAGCCCAGTTTAGAGGCTGATTGTGATTCATGTAACTAAGGTTGCCAGATTTAGCACATATAAATACAGGATGCCCAGCTAAATATGAATTTCAGAGAAATAGCAATGCAATATTTGGGACATGCTTATAGTAAAAAAAAAAAAAAAAAGAAAAACTGTGTATCTAAAACTCAAATTTAACTAGGCACCTTGCATTTTTATCTGACAATCCTATAGGTAACTCCATTACTCTTATTTACCAGTAAGTCTGTGCTCTCCTTCATCCACACATTATCTTGAAGAAAATATTTGTGCCTATATGATAGATTGCAATGACATTTTTAAAAAATGGAATATCTGTATGCTACATAGTATTTGCAGGGACCTCTGGTGGTGTAGTAGTTAACGCATTTGGCTGCTAACCAAAAGATTGATGGTTCAAACCCACAGCTTCACCATGGGAGAAAGATGAGGCACTCTGCTTCCATAAAGGTTTACAGCCTTGGAAACCCTATGGGGCACTTCTACTCTGTCCTGCGAGGGTTGCTATAAGTTGTAATCAACTAGATGGCAGTGGATGGGTGGTATTTAGAAACTCAGTAATGGGGTCAGTGTTGTTTTCCTTTGCCTACACAGGAGTCATGAACATGATTGTGACCCTGTTCCCTAGAACATACTGCTTGTTATGGGAGACTGATAAGCAGGCAGTTTTCTGCTCAGGCCAGTCAGTGCTAATGATTGGGAGACTATGGAGAGAATTACATTCTGGTGGGGGCTTTGCCATTTGAGTTGATCCCTGAGAGAGAAGGGAGAAGGCATTCCTGTCTGTCTCATTACTGGGATTCACGTGAAGAAATGTAGAGAGGCTAGAATATAATGAAGGACCAATAGTTAATCCAGTATTGCTACAATGTAGCATAAATAGCATTAGGAATAAAAGGGAGCAGGGAATAGGGGAAGAATATTGGAAAATGAGTTTGTAAAAAGTTTGTGGATGAAATTGTGAGGATTCTTAATTGTCCTATTAAATTTTCCTGCTGACACTTGTGACTTGGTATTATGACACTTGCCATTAAAAACTTTCATGTCTAATTGTACTTACTATTGTGTGTGTGTGTGTTTCTCTTTTAGGATTAAGCATGAAAACATCGTTGCCCTGGAAGACATTTATGAAAGCCCAAATCACTTGTACTTGGTCATGCAGCTGTAAGTACCTTGTTTAACTGATAAATGCAGACTAGAGGTTGCAGACGCGACGCAAATGTCTAAAAGGGGCCGTTAGTAAAAGAAATTAATGCCTTGGGCCAGGTAGGACAGTAAGGAGTAGTGAGAATTGTGGGGCACTGTAAAAAGAACGTATCCATCTAAAGGCACTGGGAGAAGCACAGCAGTGTAGAGGCCTCATGTGGTCTACTTTGCAGTCACTGGGCTAGACTGAAAATCCAGATCCTGACATGGATTCCAATGCTACTTCTGCAGGGTGTCTGTATTCCGGATGTCTGTGTTGCTTTTCAGCGTGTGAGGGCTAAATGTTGCTTCCTGAAAACACTTTGGTGGGGCCACTGTGAAGTACACTCTGCTCTTGTCTCTAGGAGAAACTCCCACCCTGTCTTCATTTCCAGGGATGCCGGGGGAGGGAAGCAGATGGTAGCTGTGTGTCTGTGCTTTCTTTCCCTTCTACTCTTCCTCTGGCAGAGAAATGCACATGTGACTGATTTGGGAATTCATGCCAGACATAAGAAAAGTATAATTGGAGTCAGACCACGACATTATCATCCCCATTAAATAATTTCAGCATTCCAGTAACTCTGGAGATTGCCAGAGGAGGGAAGAGATAAGAAAGCTGACTATACTTGAACATGTGTTTTTTAAACGTAAAATGAAATTAGCCCCCTTTTTCCTCACATACATGCATTACTCTAAGTGATATAATTTGTAAGAGTAGCCCAGGACTAAATTTATTAGACTGCACTGAAGAAAATGGTGTCAGAGTGTTAAGCTTTTACTATTACCAGAGTAAATAAATAAATTCTGGAATATCTTTATATTGAGGTTTATGATTGAACAGGTTTCTTTTGTTTATTTGTTTAAGACCAGAGTATATACTTAAATTTCATTGTTTATTAATGATTTTCAGACTCT